CCCACATATCCCCCTACAATGCCCCCCCCCCCATATTGCCCCCCCCCCGGGGTGATGTGCTGTGCAGGTGGGCAGTGGGATGGGAGTGGGCTACAACATCAACATCGCGTGGACGGGCGGCGTGGACCCCCCCATCGGCGACGTGGAATACCTGACCGCCTTCAGGTGAGGTGGGGGGCGTAGAGGGGGGGTCCTATATGGGTGGGGGGGGGGTGCCTGAACCGCTGTGCCCCCCCCAGGACCGTGGTGATGCCCATCGCCCGTGAGTTCTCCCCCGACGTGGTGTTGGTGTCTGCTGGCTTCGATGCGGTGGAGGGGCACCAATCCCCCCTGGGGGGGTACTCCGTCACTGCCAAATGTGAGTTGGAGGGTGGGGGGGGGGGGGGGTCAAGATGCAGCACTGCATCCCCTCCGCCTCAATTCATTTATTTGCCCCCCCCCCTAAAAAACCCCCAGGTTTTGGCCACCTGACCAAGCAGCTGATGACGTTGGCGGGGGGCCGCGTGGTGCTGGCCTTGGAGGGGGGGCACGACCTGACGGCCATCTGCGACGCCTCCGAGGCGTGTGTCACTGCATTGCTGGGGCTGGAGGTACAGGACCCCCCCCCTAAGTCCCCCCCCCCAAAAAAAAAAACCTTATCCCAATTCAGAGGGAGGGGGGCTTTGGGTTCGTGCACCCTGCGCCGTGCCTCAGTTTCCCCCATGTGGGTGGAGAAGGGGGGGGTTGGGGGAGAAGAGGGTTTCAGGGTGGTGTTGTTTGGTGGGTTGTTGTTTTTTTTTGGGGGGGGGGCGGGGGGGGGATCCTGATGGTGGCCCTCTGCCCCAGCTGGAGCCCCTGGATGAGTCCCTGCTGCAGCAGAAGCCCAATGTCAATGCAGTGGCCACCCTGGAGAAGGTCATCGAGATCCAGAGTGAGCCCCTGGGGGGCACCTGGGGGTCTTGGGGGGGTGGGGGGCACAGGGGGGCTGCCCTCACTTTGGGGGGGAGGGGGGGAGCACAGAGGGGTGCCAGCCGTGGAGGGACAGAAGGCAGGGAGGGGGGGGACAACACATAGGGGTCCCCAAGGCTGTCTTTGGTCTCATAGGGTGGTCCCAGGGGGTCTTTATACTTTGGGAGGGGTCCTTTCCCACTGGGGGGGGCGGGGGTTGGAGCTGCTCCAGCCATGGGGGTCCCAGGGTGTGTCCCCAGATATGTCCCTTGAGCTGTCCCTATATGGGGGTTCTGGGGGTCCCCAGGTCTGTCCTTCCCATGGGGGGCCCCCCCAGATCGGTCCCCAACACTGGAGGGTTCTGCCCCCCCCCTCAGCCCCCCCCCAAGCAATCCCTGCATATGGGGGTCCCAGCAGTGTGTGTGGGGGGGGGTCCCCAGGTTGATCCCATGGGGATTTCTGGGGTCCTCAGAACTGCCTTTCCTATTGAGGTGTATTCCCCCCCCTCCTCCCCCAGTTCTCCCCCATATGGGATATGGGAGACCCCCAGTCTGTCCCTGGAGTGGGGGTCTTGGGGAGGGGGGAGTCCTCAGTCTGTCCCTTTAATGGGGTCCGGGAGTGGGGGAGGGGGGTCTCCAAGTCTGTCCCTGCAATGAATGGGGTCCT